TTTTTTTTTTTTTTTTTTTTTTTGCTGTGTTCACAGTTTATTGTATTTTTTTAGAAAAAAAAAATTCTTAAATATTGTAGCAGCTTAGAAATCAAGCTTCATGTTATCAGTTAAGATTCTTTCAGAAAAGCATTATCTTTTCTCCTTCTCTTATTTTGGACTTTTTAAAGAAAGACAATGAGAATTTTGGCTGAGTGAGAGGTGGAGCGGTTGTGGTAAAGGAATGTGGGAGCTGACCCTTCATGATACGGTGGCAAGGAGGCTGGTATTTGCGAGGAAATCCGTAAGGCATGTGCACCCACCCAGGAAGATGGCAGGGGCCAGATGCTACGAGCAAGACTCCAGAGATGAAGATGGACATTCAGGCAGAATTTTAGATGATGGTGACAAGGAAGAGTTCAGAAACGTTCCTTTGATCTCTAACAGTCTCAAACGCAAACCTCCCATAGTTCACTTGGATTATTCTCATGAAGGTGAAACAAATTTCTTTCAGGTCTGGGTCCAGGGAAAGTAGCCCACTTTCTCTGCCTCCCTGAGCTCTACATGCAGAGGAGACCAAAGTCCTCTGAGAATAAAAGCACACGCAATCTCCGTAGTCACCAGATTTAACAGACTTACTACCTGTGACACTGTGAAGGGACGGTAACAGAGCAGCAACATTAGACTTACATGAGATTTCTAACAAGGCCGATTTCTCTCCACTGTATCGGCTTTTAGCTCCGTATATCGACCTTCTAACCACCCTCACCCACCCTGCAAAACGAAGACTGGCTTTTTTTCTTTAGCAAACCAAACAAAGCCAGGTGCTCACTAAATATTGGTTGAATGAATGAATAAATCAATGCCTGGCTCAAGCACAAAAAGCTTTTCTATCAATAATCTAAATGTGCTTTAGCGTTAAGCCCTATCGTGGAAGGGTTGGTGGTTTCTTGGCAATTGCAGTTTTCTGAGAATGAGAGTGAATGGCTTTTTCCATCCTGTGTTTGGAAAGAGAACAGGAGGCTTGGCAGGAAGTATATGCTGTTTGAATCCATTTGAGCAGATATATATTGCACTGTGTGTTTTTCTTTAGACAGAGAAAAACCACTTTTCTTCTTCGTTAAGAGACAACACTGGAGCCCAGGGAAGAGTGAAACACAGCGACACCAGGGTCTACTGCTACTGAGCTGTGTGGTTTTGAAAGAGTTCTGGACCTACTTCTCCATTTATATCCTCAGACCGGATTAGAGTATTTTAGCTTTAGAGGCATTAATCTTTTTGAAAATGTGATGAAATCCTATGAATGCTCTCTTCCATAAACATACATATACAATTTTGCATATAATTGCAGGGCATTCACAAGCCTCAAAACTTATCCATCGACTCTCCATTAGGAGCCCCAGGACCAGATGCTCTAAGGTCTTCTAAGCTCTATGCCTGGCTCCACTAACTTTTTCCAATAAAAGAAAAAATAAGAGGAGTAAACCATTTTATGTTTATGTTGCTTGCACTGTGGTTTTCACTCTATTCTACAAGTCTCCTGGTTGGAGCAAAAGACTTTCTTAAGCCACAAGTTTCTTCTCTAAAATGTGACAGATACTCAACTTTACTCCAATAAAACAATTTAAAATAAAATGGGACAGATACTTAAGCAGGGAAAAGTGTGACAATCTATGTATCAGACTGTAATTGACAAGCATAGTAATAGATGCTGACTATGATAATTACTGTTATCATGATATATTAAAATTAATTTGAAATGAATATTAATTCTTTTCAAACAGCATTTGAAATTTCACTGGGGTAATAAGGCGGGGCACCAGGGGGATTCCTGAAGCAACGAAATACATAAAGTACATGATTTTGAAACAATTTTATTCAGTGTTTCTTTTCTTTCTGCATGAGAGACTACCACTTCCTCCTAAATAAAGATATGCAAAGTCATATATTTAAAGAGAAAATGAAACTTTAAGAAATTTCCTCCTTCATCCCATACCCAGAGGACACCCCTACAGCAATTCACACTCTGACTTAGTGGTTCTTTGATGAAAGAGCCACCAGAATAAGCAAGATAAAGGAAAAGAATTTTAAAAGTAAAACAATTTGTGACTAACTTAATAACTAGCACAAAATGAAGGAATTACAGCCGTATCTCTTTTTGTACTTCGATTTATTGTCCTTTACAGATCCAGCTTTTTTTTAAACACAAATCAAAAGTCTGTGGCAACTCTGCATAGAGCAAGTTTATCAGCACCATTTTCCCAACAGCATTTGATTCTTTTGCGTCCCTCTGTCATATTTTGGTAATTCTTAGAATATTTCAAACTTGATCATTATTAGTCTATTTTCTATGGCGAGCAGTGATCTCTGACGTTGCTACTAGGACTTGTTGAAGCCTCAAGTGATAGTTAGCACTTTTTAACATTTTAAATATTTTTAAATATTTTTCAATTAAAGACTATGCCTTTCTTAGACATAATGGTGAAAGTAAAAGTGGTTCCATCGAGTCCAACTCTTTGAGACTCCATGGAGTGTCCATGGAATTCTCCAGCTCAGAATGCTGGAGTGGGTGGCCTTTCACTTCTCCAGGGGATTTTCCCAAACCAGGGATCGAACCCGGGTCTCCTGCATTGCAGGCGGATTCTTTACCAACTGAGCTATCAGGGAAGCCCAAGACATAATGGGACTGCACACTTAACAGAGTGCAGTATAATATAAACCTAACATTGGGAAAGAAAGATTTTGTGCGACACGTTAATGGGAGGGTCTGGAAATGAACCTGCAATCTCTCTCACCTGTGCCTGTACTGTCAAACAATGAACACAGTTTTCAGGCGACTGAGAATGAGCCGATATTTCAGTGCCTGAGGAGTCCCAACATTTATAGCGGCCAAAGCGCGCAGAAGGCTTTCCTTGTGCTGAAATGACAACCAAAATGAGCTCATGTGTTCAAGACCCAAACCAGCATCGATTAAAATAAACCTGAGTTGCACACGTACTGACGATTCAGAACACCGGTGAACAGACGTCCTCAGAGACAAGAGCCTAAGCGCTATAGAACTGTACTACAGTCTGAAAGGGCGGGTTGAAAGGTCGACAGCAATGTATGTTTCAACCTCCTATCCGTCATATTCACCGGTAGGGTGCTTAGGAGGCTCATTTTACGCTCCGGGATTTACTCTGTTGGAAGTCTGTACTAAGCTGTCCTTCCTGACACGTCTCTGAAGCTCTGTATCGCACGAAAATCTCAAATCTAAACTAGGACTATCTGGGCTTTCATTGCGGCTCAGACAGAAAAGAATCTGCCTGCAAGACGGGAGACCCGGGTTCGATCCCTGGGTCTGTAAGATCCCCTGGAGTAGGGAAAGGCTACGCAATGCAGTATTCTTGCCTGGAGAATCCCACGGACACAGGAGACGGGGCAAAGTCGGACACGACTGAGCGACTCATACTGGCTTTTATTACCGTTTGACTTTGCAGCTAACTCGGGAATGGTGGTGAAAAGAAATTATATGAGATTCCCTTCCGGAAACTCACCAAGGACGACTAGACCCGTCATCTTCCAAGCACTGTCTTTACTCCCCTCGAGTAAAGGGTCCTCGTCCTTCTCCTGAATGCGCCACAACGTTGGCCGACGAGCCCTTAAGGGTTCGTCAAGCCATAACCAAGAGGAAGGAAAGGTGCTTGGAGAGATTATGCGGCCCGGGTGGGAGCGCAGGAACCGGACCCCTCCGATCAAGGCGAACCCTAAAGGCCACCCCTCCTCGCCCGGTTACAGAGAATGAGCCAGAGAAACGGCTTCCAGCACAACTAGGAGACGTAACTCTCTACCCGCCATCACAGCCTGGGATCCACAGACACGCACCANAAATGTTAAGTATTTTACTAAGTGTACGAATATAAAAGTTAAGTAAATTGGGAGTACTCAAACAGGTAGTTAGGAAATACCCAGAAATTTCTTACTAGAAATAAGATCAAATTTTTAGACTATTACTGTGTTTTCCCTCTAAAGGAATTCCTTAGATAATTTCCTAGAGATTATTGAGTACTTATTTATGAAGTAGTTGAGGTGTCAGTTTTGAATTAACAGAAAATTGGAAGTATGTAACTTAGCTAAATTGCTTTTGTTTATTTTGTTGTCTACTCTGGTTATTCATCTGCCTCTGGTTGACAGGTGACATGTTGTGAATACTCAGAAGATGATGCTACTGATGGTGTTACTGTTTGTAATAATGGTGCTTTCCATGTTGCAGACATGTAGTCCTCACAGCAACCCCCTGAGGCAGATGAGGTTGTTCCCCTTTTACAGATGAGGATCCAGAAGTTGAGATAGGTTAAGCTGCTTGTTCAAGGCCACTAAGCTAATAATTGGCAGACCTGGGACTCACCTTTGAAGCTGTCTCCGATGCTTGAAGCTCTTTTTTTTTTTTTAATTAGAGGAAGATTGCTGTACATTGTTGTGCTGGCTTCTGCACTACAACACCACAAGGCAGCTATAATTATACGAATATCCCTTCTCTCTTGAGCCTCCCTCCCCTCTCACTCAAAGCTCTTAACCATTAACCTAGGACTGCCTCTAAACCTAATCAGGAAGTAGCCCCGATGATGAATGTTCCTTCTGTAAGATGTCCAGACAAAGGTTATTCTCTGATTTATGGCCACAGCAGCCCCTCAGGAATGTTGCACCTTCACTCAAATGATTGACAGAAGGACTATCTTGCTGTCATTTTTTTAGGAATTAGTTTATAACACTTCCTGAGTGTATTCAAACAAGTTTGGTGAATTTATTTCTTCCCTGGTTTATTTATTTTGCTAATGCTTCATGATGCATCTCCTTTAATGGGGGTTGGGGTATGTGTGTGTATTCAGCGGTCATTCTTTGCACTCAGCAAATCACATTCATTCAATCTGAGTGTTACATTGCAGCAATCATAGAGGTCTTGAGATCTCATTATTGGTCATTCTCTAGGGCTTATATTGGTATTAATGCAAATCCTATTTATTTTTCTTTATGGGCCTTGTCATTATATAGATACTTAACTCTGTGTGATACCATATTGTCTTGTCACTCCTACAGAATGATGCTTCGTTGGAATACGTGCTTTTGTTTCTTCTGTTCACTGCTCTGTGTATTTTGTTCACTGTGAAAAATGGTGCCAAGCACATAATAGTCATTCGGTATTTGAGTGAATGAATGATAGGGAGGCTCAGGGATAAGTAAACTTGCTCAGGAGTTAAGGGACTGGATGTCGCCCAGTCTTCGTCCATACATGTGCTCAGTCGCTGGCCTGCTTTTTGTGACCCTGTGGGCTGTAGCCTGCCAGGTTCCTCTGTCCCTTGGATTTCCCAGGCAAGAACACTGGAGTGGATTGCCGTTTTCTCCTCCAGGAGGTCTTCCTGACCTGGGGGTTAAGCCCACATCCCCTGCACGGGCAGGTGGAGTCTTCACTGCTGAGCCACTTGGGACGCTCCAGCCCAGTCTTCGTAGTTGTTTTTAAAGTCACGGCTAGAGTATACTTAGAATATATAGAGAGAATGTATTTAGAACATATACTTAGCCTTTTGAAACATGGAGAAGGCATTTAGTAAGACGTGGTATATGGCTTTTGTAGTGAACATTCTGACTACGGTGCACCAAGCAAGTTTGCGTTTCTGCAAACAGGCCAGTGAGCCGTCGATTATGAATTTAAGAGTCTTTCCCTTAAGTTGAAAGAACAGTTCGCTATTTCCGTGAGTTTCTGCCCTGGAATTTTAGCAAACTCTTCGCGCTGGGTTCAGGTAAACGCTTCCTTGGTAAAATGACACCAGTTCATCATTGGGCCCTTCCAGTGGGAACCATTACTTGCAGTGAAGGTGCGAAGAACCCACAGGTATGGATTCTGCGTTGGAGAGCTTAACTATGTAGGAAGATGATGAGGAAGGCAAATAACGTAGAGAAAAAGTTACAGTAAAGTATGATAAGTATTGTGGGCTTCCCTGGGGGCTCAGTGGTAGACAAACCACCTGCCAGTGCAGGGGACGAGTGTTCAGTCTCTTGTGCAGGAAGGTCTGCTGGAGAAGGAATGGCCACCCACTCCAGTATTCGTGCCTACAGATCCCTATAGAGCTTGTCCTGTTACAGTTAACGGGGTTGCAGAGTCTGACGCGACTGAACAACACCAAAAATGTTAAGTATTTTACTAAGTGTACGAATATAAAAGTTAAGTAAATTGGAAGTACTCAAACAGGTAGTTAGGAAATACCCAGAAATTTCTTACTATAAATAAGATCAAAATTTTAGACTATTACTGTGTTTTCCCTCTAAAGGAATTCCTTAGATAATTTCCTAGAGATTATTGAGTACTTATTTATGAAGTAGTTGAGGTGTCAGTTTTGAATTAACAGAAAATTGGAAGTATGTAACTTAGCTAAATTGCTTTTGTTTATTTTGTTGTCTACTCTGGTTATTCATCTGCCTCTGGTTGACAGGTGACATGTTGTGAATACTCAGAAGATGATGCTACTGATGGTGTTACTGTTTGTAATAATGGTGCTTTCCATGTTGCAGACATGTAGTCCTCACAGCAACCCCCTGAGGCAGATGAGGTTGTTCCCCTTTTACAGATGAGGATCCAGAAGTTGAGATAGGTTAAGCTGCTTGTTCAAGGCCACTAAGCTAATAATTGGCAGACCTGGGACTCACCTTTGAAGCTGTCTCCGATGCTTGAAGCTCTTTTTTTTTTTTTAATTAGAGGAAGATTGCTGTACATTGTTGTGCTGGCTTCTGCACTACAACACCACAAGGCAGCTATAATTATACGAATATCCCTTCTCTCTTGAGCCTCCCTCCCCTCTCACTCAAAGCTCTTAACCATTAACCTAGGACTGCCTCTAAACCTAATCAGGAAGTAGCCCCGATGATGAATGTTCCTTCTGTAAGATGTCCAGACAAAGGTTATTCTCTGATTTATGGCCACAGCAGCCCCTCAGGAATGTTGCACCTTCACTCAAATGATTGACAGAAGGACTATCTTGCTGTCATTTTTTTAGGAATTAGTTTATAACACTTCCTGAGTGTATTCAAACAAGTTTGGTGAATTTATTTCTTCCCTGGTTTATTTATTTTGCTAATGCTTCATGATGCATCTCCTTTAATGGGGGTTGGGGTATGTGTGTGTATTCAGCGGTCATTCTTTGCACTCAGCAAATCACATTCATTCAATCTGAGTGTTACATTGCAGCAATCATAGAGGTCTTGAGATCTCATTATTGGTCATTCTCTAGGGCTTATATTGGTATTAATGCAAATCCTATTTATTTTTCTTTATGGGCCTTGTCATTATATAGATACTTAACTCTGTGTGATACCATATTGTCTTGTCACTCCTACAGAATGATGCTTCGTTGGAATACGTGCTTTTGTTTCTTCTGTTCACTGCTCTGTGTATTTTGTTCACTGTGAAAAATGGTGCCAAGCACATAATAGTCATTCGGTATTTGAGTGAATGAATGATAGGGAGGCTCAGGGATAAGTAAACTTGCTCAGGAGTTAAGGGACTGGATGTCGCCCAGTCTTCGTCCATACATGTGCTCAGTCGCTGGCCTGCTTTTTGTGACCCTGTGGGCTGTAGCCTGCCAGGTTCCTCTGTCCCGTGGATTTCCCAGGCAAGAACACTGGAGTGGATTGCCGTTTTCTCCTCCAGGAGGTCTTCCTGACCTGGGGGTTAAGCCCACATCCCCTGCACGGGCAGGTGGAGTCTTCACTGCTGAGCCACTTGGGACGCTCCAGCCCAGTCTTCGTAGTTGTTTTTAAAGTCACGGCGTTCAGTGTTGCCTTCTCGTTCTCTTACTGTCCCTGCTTTGTTCAGTTCTCTGAACCTGCCTGTCACTGCGTCGTCTCTTCTCCACTCGTAGAATCCATTCAGTTTTCATGGATCGTGAAGCCACTTCCCTCTCTGTAGAGAACTGTGATGTGATCGTGGCGCTGCACTGACCATGTGCTTTTCTCTTCAGAAATGGGCTCCTGTGGCCGACTTCACCCACCACGCCCACACTGCCTCCTTGTCAGCAGTGGCTGTCAACAGCCGCTTCATAGTCACCGGGAGCAAAGATGAAACCATTCACATTTATGACATGAAAAAGAAAGTAGACCATGGGGCGCTCATGCATCACAATGGTAAGAAAATCATATCCTTTAAGATAACAGTGTTGAGGCAATTTACGATTTGACTTCAGCTGAACAATTCATATAAGTGTCTCATATGAGCAGATTCTGTGCTAAGAAATACAGAAGTGGACAAAGTGTGGTTCTTTATCCTTAAGTTATTCACAGTCTGTATTGGGCCAGAATGGAAGCACTTTACTCAGTCTAGTGGGGCAGAAGGAAGAAGCAACTTTTCACTGAAAGCTTCCTTAAAATGACATTAAAATGGACTATTTTATAAGAAGAGGTCAATTGTTGGGCAGGTGAAACTGGCAAGGTGGAGAAAAGGACACTTGGGGCAGGGCAGGCCGTGTGAGGGGCATAGTGGCAGCATCACCGTAGAAGCTGGCTCTCTGCGGGAGGGCCAGGTACCCAGCACTGTGCCAGGAGAGACCAGCTGTGTCTTCAGTTCAGAGAAGAGAAAGCCTAGGCTCAGCGATGTTACAGGACCTGCCCTTGGTCACAAAACACTGAGACTAGAACCTGAACCTGCATCTGGAGCCTGTGCTTTTTTGACCACTGGTGCGCCTGGGGAAAAGTAAGGAGCTCGGTGTTCTGAGAAGGTCAGCGTGGAGGTTGGGGTGGCTGGAGACGTTGTGGGGTCAGATCCCAAGGGACCTCAAGTGGAGGAGGTCAGGACTGAATGGGTCAGAGAGCATTGCAGGCCTGAGGAAAGTGC